TAAGAACAATAAACACGAAAAAAAGAAGAAGAAGAAGAAGGGGGCGTCGAACACGAGGAGAGGAGATCGCGAGACCCGTTTAAATCCCCTTCTGGCTGCTGCCAGTCGGTTGTTATTACAAGCGAGGATGGCAAAAAGCAAGGACCATCGTCCTTCGTCGTCTGGCCGGGCTCCTCCTGGTGGTGGTCCCCAGGAGGAGAAGGAGAAAAGGCTAGAAGCGGTCCGGGGAGACGATGATTGTTTCTCACGAGCCAAACTAGGTAGCTCGCCGAGCTCGATTCGAGTCGGTTGACCCTCTTTTTCACCAACGAAAAGAGAAGCAAACGGCGCCACGAATTCCAGCCGCTTCCTTGAATCGCGGAAGGTCCAGTGAACCACGGCTCCGGGGAGTCACCTTTTTCACATTCCACGCCCTTGCGCCCTGCGGAGAGCACGAATTTTCAACAGAAAATTGTCTTCATCACCTGGATTGATACAACTGGCACGAACAACAATTTCATTTCACTTTAGTTTCTCTTGCTTTATTCTACTTTATTTAAATTTACTTTACTCCATTTTATTTTGCTTCGTTTCGTTTATTTTAATCTATTTTAATTTACCTTATCTTAGCTCAGTCCAGTTTAGTTTATTTTCGTTTTGTTTTGTTTTTCATAGATTTTTGCTCGATGGAATAAATACATTCCGTTTTTACTATTTGTTTTTTTTTCAAGAATACAATGGAATCTCAATATTTATTTCAATCTAGATGATAGTATTTCTTTATTCGCTGTAAAAAGAAATTTGTTGCAGTAAGTAATAAAATTAGCTAGTTCTTCAGACTCATGTTTTATACTCTAATCTGACGTATATATAAAATATACTAAATTTGTCTAAATCAGTTTCACACTCTGTGTTTGTAGATTTTCATAGAGACGACGGATAGAAAGCTAGGGAAGGAATTTTAGTTTAGCCGTCATTTCAGATGCAAAGAGGACCAAAAAAAAGGGATGCACGTAGAATATAGAAGTAGATTGAAGAAGAGTGAAGTGCAGAAGGATCTTAAGAAAAGGAGAAGGAGCCGAAAAAGCAGAATACGAGAAGAGGCACGCCAAGAAGGGGAGGGACGCCATCGAGAAAGCACAACTAAAAATGAAGTGCCACCAGAATGAAAAGGAGCCTGCGGGAAGAAGAAAGTGAAGTAGACTTCCAAAAGCGGACAACAGTATGAGAACGAAGGAAATAAAGATGAAGTGCGTGATGAAGTTGAGGAAAAGGTCTATCAAGAGAAGAATGAGTATTGTATTAAAACCTTGGTACCAGAAGAGAAGACCTGAAGAATATTGAATTACGCCAAGGAATTCAAGAACTAACCGTGAAAACAGTCATTAAAAGAGGAGAAAAAAAAGAGAAAGATCAAAAGTAAAAAGGGATTGAATGTGGGGAGGAAAGAAGAAGAGTTTCATGGCAAGAGAATCTACAAAAGTTACGGAGAAAGGAAAATGTGGAAAAGAGAAAGAAAAGAAGCTCTCTGTGTGTGAGTGAATACAGTGTAAAATATTCTGTAAACATTGTACAGAAAGGTAGAAAGAAAATATAAGGATAGCTGAAAAGGATAAGAAAAACTGAAAATTGGAGAATTAAGGAGTGAAAAGGATTGAATGTTAAAGTAATTGAAATTCCTTAAAAATCCAGGAGAAATAAAACGAATTCTCGGGGGGAGATAAGAAGAAATCAAACTTTGCCCTGATAATTATAAAAATAAAAGACAGAAGATGAAAGAGCAAATTAAAGAATTAAAATGAAAAAAAGAACAAAAATCCAAAGGAAAAGAATTGAAACAGAAATAGAACGAAGTCTATTAATTTCATTAATCATGTATATTTCAAAAAAAGTGGTAAAAGAAAAAAAAAAAATTCTCCTTTCCGAAGTTTCATAATCGAGAAGTAAAGTAGACTAAAAAGACCTGGAATTAAAATTTTAAAAAACGAATCCATTCTGGAAGTATGGCCAAAGAACAAAGGAAAAAGAGGAGAATGGAAATCAATCGAGCGGGGGTGGTCTTGATCGAGGAATGTCGTTCTCCAATGGTAATCAACGAGGACACACCTGCACGAGTCTGTGCTGTTTCTCTCTCGCACTCTTTTTCTCCCTTTTCTCTCTCTCTCTCTCTCTCTCTCTCTCTCTGTCTCTCTTCTTTCTCTCTTCTGCGGCTCTGCAAATTTAAGAGCGGCTTCGTGGAATTCCATTCTTAATGGCTTTATTACGTTGTGTGCTCGCGCACACTCCCCGTTGGATTTCAGCTCGTTCATCGGACAATTCGGTTGTCCAGGAACCTGTTCCCATCTTTCCATCCATGAATGAATAGGCGGCCGCGTTTGAGAAAAATCGGCGCAAAACCCGCGCCGGATTATGCACACACACACACTGGCAAGCATGAAAGCACGAATATACGATCGCGTCAATGATTGTCACGTTTGTTGTCGATCTCAAGGACTGCTTTGCAAGGAATGGTTTGCTCGTCGGCCATTCACGTTCGATCACGACTGCCTCTGAACGGCGTTTCACCGATTAACGCTCCATTTGAAATCTGTTTTCTTTCTCTTTTGAAAAATCCCATTTCGTGTCATCGTGAGTCCATCTCAAATGGAACTGGAAAATAATTTACACGTATTGTGCGTTCATCGTTTTCGGAAAAGGAAACGGTGTCTACTTGCTTGAATTGGCTCATATTTTCCCGAGAAGTGATAATGCGTTTTATTCTTAACAAAACAAGTATGTAAGTGTGCAATATTTACTTACCTGCGAAGATTTGATGATTCTTCAGAATTGAGAAATCTAGAAAATTGATATATTCGGTTTAAACGATTGAATGCTGTATACATCAATGATGAGCTTTTACACATTACACATATGACAAAATGGCGAAATAATTTAAAGTGCAATATTTGGAGGTTTCGTTGGTAGATAACAACAGTTAAAATTTTTTCGACTTATAAGTTTTTTTTTTTTTTTTTTTTTTTTTTTTGAGGAATGTAAATGTCAAAACAGTACGTGGGATTTGTATTTGTATTTACAGTCAGCAATTTAACTTGAAAGCGAAATTGGAAAATATTGATTGACACTGTTAAATACGATTGATATTAATTTGAAAGTAAAAGAGCAGTTTCATTTGAAATTCAATTCGAGAATTATTCGATGCAGATAAAATTTATCAAATATATCGTGAATTTGACCTTCTTACGGCTAAAGCTAAAACATTTGACGACGTGTAAAATTCAAAAAAAAATAAATAAATAAATAAATAAAAGCAGGATAGAAAATAATTCTACTTCTTAAATATCCGGATATTTTACATATTTCTTACGTGGTGCAATTCTGCGCAAAAACCGTGCAGGTGACTGTTCCAAAACGAGACCTACAACCTATTCCTAACCAACGATGAAGGTATTAGAAAGTCCGGGATCACAGATTTTTTTTTCGGCCAGATGAATGTACCGTTAAAAGATGTGCCTATGATTACCAGGCCAAATTCGTACCTCTAAGACAGAAGACAACCTCTAACAGCCATTCCTTCGTAATTGTTTGTCAGAGCCTGTGTCCGGTTTTCGAACATTGCTCTGCGATAGTGTTAAGGTTCGCACGGTTTGCCAAGGTGGCAAAAGCTTTCACGGTGGAAAGGCGAGAAATAGAGAGAGAGAGAGAGAGAGAGAGAAAACGAAAGAGAGAATTCTAGGTTACGTGGTGATGTTTGTTCTGTCGGTAACCTTTTCGGTTCGGTCTCACGAAGGCCGCACTTTTCAACGTCGTAAATCTCGTTTCGAATGCCCTTTTCCTGGGACGTGTCTACCTGCGACTTCTATTAGCAAATCTTGGCCTCGAGGGAAACGTTACGCGGAATTTTAGCATTCGTTTCCACGTGCGAAACGCAATCCGACGAGAGATAGCCTCTCGAACATCTTGCAGCTTTCTTCTCTCTGAAATAATGGTAACGTGCTTTCTCTCTCATTTTAGTTGTGTTTTTGACGTTTCGACAGAGAGAGAGAGAGAAGAAGGGAAGTTCCTTGCTGATTCGTAGGGAATCGGGTACTTCGTATGCTGTTCGTGTTACTTGAAATGGCTGAGAAGATGTGTGTTTGGAATTTCAGGAGCGATATGAGGGGATTCCACGTGCACATGGTGGATGTTATTAGAAGCGAATGTGGATACAATGGAAATAAGATTAATGCACGCGAGTGTTTATGAATCGACTGTGTATACTTTTCATTCAGAGTCTTTTACTGGAATACTATAATAAGAGAAAACACTGTACACCTTGAAATTTCATGGCCGCTATAATGACGCACAATCGTCGTAATTATATTGATGATATTTGGAAATATATATTCGTAAAATAATCATGGTTAAACTGATAATAAATAATTCGTACAGAAAATAAATATAGAATAATGTTTAGAGTCTATTTGTGAACATATTCAATTAAGAAAAAAAAATTTTCGTCCTACTTTTAACTGTTTAGGATCGTGATGTGTAACAAAACAATTAATAATACCAAATATTATTTCCAATTAATATTTAACCACGAAACCTTCCTAACTAATTCTGCCAATTCAAGACAATTATGTATAAATTATGAAAAAAGTATTATTAACAATAAATTACAATGATAAGTTGTATATCAGTCATCAATAATAGGTCACGTATAAGTGGTCACAATATTAGATTAACGCTGGAACTACCGATGACTAAGGTATAAAAAATTGTACTAGAAATTTTACATAGTGCAAGGAATAGTTTACAAATGCAAACAAAGAACGGAAACTTTTATTCGTACGTTTCACAAAAATCATTCGAATCTCTAAAAATATAACCTGCTGAACCTTGCAGAATTAATTAATTAAATTGGTCACATTTTGACCATTTTCGTGGTAGTTCCAGTTTTAGTTAAATAAGCTGAAATAATGTAAGTTCTAAATAATTCTAATTTAAAAAAAAAAGAAACTGCGTTTATTTTTGCAGAACACAAATTCTCGATGTACACGCCGAGCATGATCGCGGCGGCGAGCGTCGCGGCGGCCCTCCACGGTCTCGATTGGACAGGGAAAAGCGGTTACGGGCTGGCCGGCCTCCTCGACGAGCTAACTCGCATCACGGCTATCGAACAGGTTTGTCTTCTCGTGTATGATATTATTTAGCGACACTCGAGAAAATCCTCGGATAACCACCGCGAACGATCAGATTTAACATCGCAAGTTCGCTTACATACACCGCCGGTTTGTTCTGCGTTTGTTGGAAATAAACGTCGCCCCTCTGTCTTCGTCGATGTGAAACGCGCGAGATTCATTCAGGTATTTTTTTCGTTTAATTGCAAACAGATCCGATGAGATATCTGCTTCTCTTTTTTATTTTGATTCACACTGGAGGGTTTCTGGAATTTTTTTTTTTTTTGTAAGAACTTTTACAGCTGATCAAATTTGTCAAATCACGAATTCATCCGGCGCGTATTCACAAAACATTTGAATCAAAGTTCGTTTTTCCTCTCAATCCTCAAACGCGTAATTAAAAATAGAAATTCTAAAGCTTTGTAATGAACATTAAAAGTTCATTCCTTTTTTTAAGCAAAGTTTCGCTTTCCTTTTTCTTTTTTTTTTATCTTTTATTTACTTACACCCTCTGGTATTATTAAATTACGCGTTATTAAAAAATCGTTTCTGGCCGCACACGTAGTCTCAACTCGATTGAAGATTCTGAATGAACCGGGAGAGGGCAGGTGGCCAATATTCGTGTATACGTTTCTTCCTGCTTTTCTAAACACATGTGATCGTCGAAAATATTGCGCTTACAGGACGTAGACCCCATGCCGAGCCATTCACGCGTGCACTTTATTTGCACTCGGCGCGTTATGAATGTATAGTCTGCGCGTGTTTCAAATCGTCTTTTCCCTTTCTCGTCACGCTGTCGCTTTTTTCCCCCCCCCGTAAACATGTGCCCGACACCTGCTACACTCCGCTCATCAGCACGTTTTTGCGCGACGTCTTGGCTGGATTCGCCAACGATCTCTCAAACCATTCTCGAACATTCTCTCTGTCGAAATAATACACGCAGAGCCGATTAATTAATTGAATTATCTCGCGCTAGTTCTTGCTGGTTTTCCTTGTGTGAAGAGGTTAATGCAATAATTATTAAATTGAATTGCTCCGTCCTTCGTTCTTTTAGTTTTTAACATTCATCACATTATTACATGAACAAATTTTCTTCCTTATGATAATTTTTAAATTGAGTCTTTTCTTTTTCATTTCGTTGGTTTTTAACATACATTCATATTGATATGTATAATACAATTATCTATGACACGATGATAGTATTAATATATAATATTTTCTATAATTTCTTATAATTCAGTATTGATATATTATTGTACATTAAATGTACAAAGTCGAGTCAGTAAAACGAATAATTTTATTCAATCATCAATAACATTAGAAAATTACAATTTTCTAAATTTAATTGAAAATTCATATTTTGTGCAAAAGTAATTAACAATGTCGGATCGAGGTTATACTTTTGTAATAAAGAATATAATAATATTTATTACTATAATATAATAAATATTTATGTACTAATTGTATTCTTGTATTTTCCCTTTAAATTTCCAAATCATGCTCTCCAAAATCCATTAATCTTGGCTCGCGTCTAAAAACAGGTCAATTCCGATCTAACCTGATTTATTTCTTGTCTCTTCTTATTCCAGGATTACTTGCAAGGTTGCTTAGAGCAGATCGAAGAGATGGTGTCTCAGGCAGTGAAAGCCGACAGTATCGGCGGGAATAGCCGCCAGGTGACCGGGTCATCGTTCCCGGGCGTGTCGCAGAGGCCTCTGGGGGACGAGATCACCAGCCAGGAGAAGATCCTGGAACACGAGAAGGCGGGCACGCCGACCGACGTGAGGGACGTCCATTTTTGAGAGACGCCGCTGAGGGAAACTCTGGCCAGGGTGACTCTCTGCTGAACCTGGAGGCCGAGGAACAAGTGATACCCAGCGATGACGACGACGACAACGACAACGATACTGAGGAACCCACGGCTAAGAAGACAATGGAGAAGAGCGACGAGAAAATTCCTGAAATGAATGAAGAAGCAAGGAATATAAAACACATGGACAGAGATGCATAAAATACGTTGTGCTTGCTCGAGCGAATCGCCGTTTGGTTTTCCCTTCGTCACCACTGTGAACAGAATCATCTTTAAGAAAGAGGAAGAAAGAAAAAAAAAAAAAAA